GTGTTTTATCCAGCCAGTGAAAAGAGAATAAAGAACATTGTCATGAATCGAGCACAATAGTCTCCGATATTTCTCCCCAGTTTACCAGCGCTGTGTTCCAGACCGCTGCAACCAAATGGGAATTATTGCACTACCAAGCTAGACCATTTAACAGTCAATGGAATGGAAATGCGGAGTCGACAGTGAAGGAGATCAAGCGAGTTACTCAAACGCTAAAGCTACGAGCGAAAACCCGTACCACATGCTAGTGGAGGATCGCAACGCTATTAAAACCGATACCGGTTTGTGCCCATTGAAGTGCCTATCCAGCGGACATAAAGCTAGAAGCACCTTACGCATGTATGATGCCAGTTATCATGCGCTGATCCTCTTTGTTGTTTTCATATAAAAATCGTAACGAGCAATAAGCAACTCCAAGGAGATGGTCGTTGAGTTACAAGGGAAAAATTAGAAGACAACAACACATATTCAAATCAGAGGAATCTGAATGCTCCGGGTGCATATGTGTTGTACGGTTACGAAGCATCTTGTTCCATTCACTTATAATCGAATGAAGCACACGCACCTCGAGTTGCTCTGTTAAATCTTCGCAAGTCCCTTCAGATTTTTCGAAATCTAACTATCCATGAATAGACTGACTTTAAATTTGTCAAGAAGGTGCAGCGCTTCATTTTTGCGAAAATTGACAGGCCGAACTGGGGTCCTTGCTTTCTCGTTAGAAACCTTTTTTACTTCGGAGCAGTCACAATTTTATGGAGAAGTAAACCTGTCAGCGCGTACGCAAAGATCTTTCCACGGAGAGCTGACATCAGAATAGACAATTAGATAGTTATTCAAACTGTCAAAGCATGTAACGTTTTTACGTCTAAAAATCAGGCCATGCTCTCTGTTGAAAGCGCACTGGCACTGGCAACAGTTGCAGAGCTAGGAAACCGTGTCATCCAACGACATCAGCTGACGAACAATTCTCGGTATCTAACTTGATTTATCAACGTCGCAGCCCCGAAGTCCTCCGCAACTAACGATCAATCGGGAATAAAATACCTCTGATTGCAATTTTCTTCGCTTCAGCGCTAAGTCAGAAAACGAACCCTAAATTATAGGCACTGCAAGCGTTCTAGGTCGTCTCACAATCTCCTGAAATCTAGCGCTCCACCCTATAGCATTTAACACTTGCGTTTCGTAAACAAAGTCCATAACTGCGTACAGCCGTGTGGCTTCTCCACTTTAGGTTATCTCCGACGCCGGACTGTAATGGCGACTAACGATCTCGACATAACCGAATGCCGTTTCATATAAATTTGGAATTATGACTTCGGGACCCAGAACTTAGTTGATATGGGGCGCGAGTGGGTATTTGTCCGTCATTCTCAAGTTTCTTTGTCAACAAGCCCGAATTCCGCCAATGACACACCAATAGCCACCTATGGTCATCGGTCAATAACACTGAACCTAGATTTCCGGCGCACATAAACATCTATAATGTTGACAAGTGCTGGTGGGTTTGTTCCTGCCGAATATACGATTCACGTCCAGCTTCCGTGGCTGAAACCAGACGTTAATGCACCAGAGCAGCCTTAGGATCGGGAGTGTAAGTACGTAATTTGAATGTGCAATCTTTCATATGAGCAGAGACTAAATCGATTGGGAGCGTTCATGGGACGATTGCGCGGATAACAGGCGATGCGATAATGGCCGAGCTTATAAGTGCAGAGCGTATAACTTTAATAGCAGAGTTGTCCAAATCTATAAGTCCCTATATTAAACGACCCCAAAAATATTAGCGTAAAGGAAACAAACTTGCTTCTGCAGGATTTGACGTCAACAGAAATAAAAAGCTGTCCATAAACCATCGGCTAACATTCGAAACTATACGGTACTTGGAAAGTCAATTTGAAATACATGTTGTGTGGATGGATTGCGACGCGCAATCTCAAAGTGGACCGCGATTCCCATTGAAGTGAACCTTGGCCATTCGATCACTAGGACCGTAGCTGATGAAGCAGCAGCAAATGGGGTGTTGCCCGCCTGAAACCTCGAAACGCGTCATGGAGTGCAGTGGTTTCAGGCGGGCAACACCCCATTTGCTGCTGCTTCATCATATACGGTACTTGCTTCTGCACAACCCATTTTTTGTGTCCTGCTCATTACTGCAACTCCGCTGCAATATACATTTAAGTGGATACTCAATTCTACTGACAGAACAGTATAGTCATCTGCTGCCGCAGAAATTTATTTTCATTCGTGTGTGTCACCCGTGGAATGCCCTCCCTGGACTGGCCGTCCCGGCACAGAGAGTAGCAATATTTAAAAGACAACTGGATGACAACGCATTCATCCGCATGCAATTTTTACTTAGCACTCTGTCTCCGTCCTACTTTTGGAGTGTACCTTGGATTTATTTGAGGTTATTCATGAGTGCTGTGAATCTACGCCCACTGCAGGACTGCAGCGGCGCAAACAACAAAAGCTTCTATTCATAGTTAAAGTAGTAAATATTTTGTAGTTCTTCTTAGTATTCCTATGTCCTATCAAACTATTAATCGAGACGGTTAGCGAAGCATTCCTTAACTCGTATAAAGTCACTGTTCATTGTGGCCGATGCTCCCTCACGCGTCAACTTAACTCGTCCATCTTTGCCTACAGTCAACCATGCAACCATGGCATATCCTCAGGCGCAGAATGTAGACCCACAACGAAGGATGCGGTGCACTTCACTGTATGTGTAACCCGACCCTATTTAAACCACGTACGTAACAAGTCCGCGCGTTGTCCTTGACCGTTCATGCCCGCCTCCTTCAGACGCATTGTCTTCAACGTACTCTACTCACCATCACATCAGTTTGTCTGTTCAATTGTGAAACAGGTCACCGAAGGTTTCATTGGGCCAAGCGGAAACGATGTTCCCACTTTTGATCGCGCCTGCTTTAACCGTCCACCATCCAAAGCATATCGGCACGTTCGTAGTCCTCTTGACTCGTTCCCCAGCACAGACTTGGTCCTCGCATATGCAACTAGATCTGGTCGGTAATTGAACCCCTTCACGCGGATTCGTATACATACTTACATGTGCCTACCGCTACACCAGGTGTCCAAAAACAATTCCCCTAACTGACAGCACAGCTGAGAATGTTACCCGTTCCTTCTCGAATCGCTGTCTCGCATTACGGATGCCCAGTCACCATCACAACCGAGCATGGTACACCTCTCGATTCTTCACAATTCTACACGTTCTGCACTTATTTAGACCGCCGACGTCCAACAACCAATTGCTTAGTTGAATATTTTCATAAACAGCTTATGCCTCAAGCTGTGTCGCTTCAGGCCAGTTCTGGAACGAAAATATTTCGTTTGTCCTCTTATCCATTTGCTGCAACATCAAAGTTGGCTTGTAATGCACACTCTCATAGGTTGTTTACGGCACACCACTAATGCTGCTTGGGAAATTCGTTTTACGTCACGCATCGTCATTTATACTCCAGCCTAACTTTGCGTCCGCCGGAGCACAACGCATCAGTTCACTAAGACGGACACCTGCTCGTCATCATATCAGAGATATGTAACCACGCTTTTCTTCATATGAAAACAGTGCGAGGAACTTCCCAACCTTTTTACAGTGGCTCTTACAGTCTTTCGCAACACAGTCAAAGCACTTTACTTTAGATCGGAGTGATCACCGTACAGTAGTGTCCATCGGCCGTCACAAATTGGATTTCTTTGACGAAACACTGCAAATAATCCTGACGCAATTACGTTAACACCCACACTGGATACCCCGAAACCCTGCATTCCACTTGACCCTAAACCTACCTCACATCAGCCCCAGGCAATGGATATTCTTTGTAGATAGGTAGATTTTGTTTACAACTGTTATATCCATTCCCATTTATGCTTAATATTATGTGTGCTAATCACACAGTTCACTCTCAAAACGTTGGTAAAATCTATAAGGAAATGCTCACACTGTTTTAGAAAATCTTAAATAGCATTCGCTTTTATTCTCTATGCCGTGTTTACTACCAGGCGTAACACCAATCATTCGACCCATACCCCCTCCTCTGAGTTCCACATTCCCTAATTCCGAAAGCGAAAACTGCCGGGGCAAATCTCGAGTGACTACACAACCGGCTCAAGACCCCACCCTAGTACAAGCGGCAACCAGTCGCTCTTGTCAACGGACGAATACAACCGGTGTTTTCCCCAGACACCACGATGCGTTGTGCAGGCGAGGACGTCCGGACTTCGTCGTTAGACGGTAATCGTTAGGGAGCATCGTTGGGACTGCAACAAATAAAATGTTCTAGCGGCCTTTTCTTTGAACCAGATAGTTTATTCTGCATTCCAACATGCTCATCCGAAGGCCCGCTGATGACGCACACGGACCCGAGCGGAATAATGATAGAGAATTTGGAAGTCTGTATCCAGCGAACTCTGATGCAAACCACAATTTGCAATCCATTGTTCAAACTTCAGTCTAATCTCTTTCCAGTCATCCTCATCACCCGTTTCCCCACTGACTGCCCCATCGATAGCTTTCAACCTTTAGCAATATAGCGTGAGTTCATTGTAGTGCACGGGGAAAAAGTTTCCTTCAGTGAAAATTCGTGAGAATATTGCAGCTTGGGTTGTTAATGAGTTTATTGGGGTGTCGTCCGAGCTCCAAGGACCATCTATTAGACTCACATTCTTTCAATATTTTACAACATTGCATTTTCTTATTGTTTGGCTTTATGAAGATCTATTCGTCTGACTGTATGTTCATCGGCCTGCAAAACTGATCCCGTGAGTTCCGCGTTACGCGTCCTTTGTCCTTTGTCCCATTACGTATAACCAGTACAACAATCGCTTAGTATAGCCTGCTCTGTATACTGTGACGTCTAGAATTTTGCACGTCTCGCGAATCAACGCTATCTTATAGTATCCAAAATGATACAAAAGTACTTGTAGATCAAACTATAAACACTGTAGTGGGACATCTTCCTTTTCAAATATTGACTCACCAGTTATCATGCTTTCTTCCGTTTCCATTTCTGTCGTTACAGATTGATCCTTATCTGACCATTCTAAAAACAAGTTATATAGCATTTCTAATACGTGAATACATCTTATTTTGATCATCGGCATTCAGAAAACGATGACGAGAGAATGTGTTACCTTTTGATGCCACATATTTGTATGTTGAAGTGCTTGCTTCATCCAAACTAATGCGTACCTGTTGCTTGCCGTTTGAAGTGGCAATGGTTTGTTTGCGAAATTTGGACAAAGTTAGTGCAACATAGTCTAGTGCATTTTGTTCTGTAGGTCGTCCTGCATAATTAAATAAACTATTGCGGAATTCTATCCCACGCGCTACGGTAGCCACAACAATTGTCCAATTTCTTCCATTGACCTAAGTTCATTTGGGACTTAAGTGTTCCTCTGCATGTGTAGAGTCCTGATAACGCTTTCCTGTTTGATAACGCTTATCGTTCGGTCACGCACATTAAAATGTTTCTCGTGAGAAACAACCGGCCAGTGAGAATATGCTAACTGTAGTAGAGCAGCTTTGTAATTAGTTATAGCTTGACCAGGCTAAGCTCCGCTTTCCTTCAGGCCTAATAGCAATCGACTTCACAAGCCTGAATTTACTCCATTTACCCGAGGAATTTCGCTAGTTTTGTTTCAGTGCCATATGTGATGAAGAAAGATGGAATAATATGTCAGAACGCATCGTGGTAGATTGGGCTAATAATAAAAAGGAAATGGTCAACTTTCATTTCGTGTGATCGAATTCGGTTAGAGTTGCATTTCTGACTGAAACATAATGCACCTTGCTTCTCCTCGAACCACAGCGCACTTGGTATATGCTAACTTCTGCGGTAAGATTTATTCAACTTGTTATATGTTTGTCAACTAGTTCAGCAATTCCTCCTGAATTTCCCATTGAGCTGCATGCTTCGTGTAAGTGAACTGGCCAGATATGTCCAGTTATCGTTAGTGAATTTCCCCGAGTCCGGTATGCAGCTGCAGGAGTTTGGCGCATGTACCATACCAGTTAACATGCATCAAACGCAACGCTAATGAGCAAAAAGGCAATATCAAGTGCAGAAACCTTGAATTACTTATTTCCTCAAACAGCAAATCGTCAGGTATTTGGTGAATGTTCAGGAAGGATGCATGTTGCTTTACGTTGCAATTAGCAACGTAAAGAAAGCTGATCATCCGTATCCTTCCAATTCAACGTTGCACAAGCGTACTCATCGCACAAATTACGTCTGCGAAATTGCACTCAGTACATCTGTGAGCAAATACTTATATGAGAAGTCAATTATATGAAAACCTAGAGTGCAGCAGAGTGGAGTGCATGCAGTTTATATAATTCCAGTCTCACCTGCAATGGTATCAACCGATTCATCTCCTGCAACGGCATTCTCTATTTTCTCCATCAACTTTCTGTCAATCTCTAAAAAATACGACGGTAAATCTTTCACGTTTTCTGCTCACAATACCCACGCGGACATACATTCTTGACGCCAAATGCTGTTGCAGGACATAAACCTTAAAGGTTCAATCGAACTAATGCGAAGAGTGTTATGGTGTGTGGAGTGATTTATGAACAACCAGAATTGGTCGACTCAATTGTCTTTACCAGATATGTAGTTATTAATTAAGCTTCATTTACTACAGAACATGTTAATATTTTACCCTATTTTACTCATCTCATATTTGGCATTTTCCCGATTTAGCGGTTTACCCGAGTTTGGAAACATTTCCTCTTAGTTCATGTTTGATCATTTTAATCTTGCTAAATATCATAAAATAACATTTGATTCAGCCATGATTTTTCTTAACGAGCGCACTGATTTGGAAATTAACTTAGGTAAAGTAGCTTAGAAGACATATATGCATTTTTTGACGTTTTAAAAATGCTCAATTATTTTTGCGAACTTACGAATCTATCAGTAAATATTCAAATAAGCAGGCAATAAAGGGAAAGTATGGGCTTTACTGAGGTGGTGTGCATGCGGTTTAATTAATTCCATTCTCACCTGCAATGAGATCATCCAGTTCACCGCCTTCCGCTTTACCTTTTATTCTCTCCATCAGTTTTCCTTCAAATCCTAAATAAAAATAAGGCAAGCGTTCCGTATAATGTGCTCACGATGACCAAGGCACTAAACTACGTATTGACGAGAAACTAGAGTAGAAACACTAAACGTTGCATGGTCATGATTTGAAGTAGACGGTAGTGTGTAGGCTGGCCTAGGTGCACCGAGTATGGTTCGGCCCGTACTACTTTGCGAGCCAAGCAACAATGCTCTATGTTTTCGCTTCCTCAAAGTCGTTTATTTTTGCGCTTTTCGTTATATGCTCCGGTTTTTATGTCTTCCAGCATTCGTGGTGTATATTTTACTTCGTTTTATTTATTCCTATTCCATAGTCCATTATTCTATGCTCGCTGAACATTTGGAAGTACCATTTACTATTACGAGTGTTTTCCTTAGCAAGTTTCCGTGATTTGTACAAAATATTGAAATAGCTTTATATATTGCATTTATTTACAAATTGACCTTCGAAATATTTTTGATATTACGGTACTCGTTTCTTCCACCAACATTTTAGTGCTTCTGTGTACTTTTTCTCAAAGATTAGAGCAACTGCGTTGTTCAAATAACAGTCTTCTTCTGCCTGCCGTTCAACCTACACAGATTGCACGAACGCAGTGGTTAACATGCCGGAATGCCTACGAACGTTTTGTTTCTTTTCTATCCCACCGTCTTGTCTAACACACAGAGGCTTTTGAGCTTCCAATACGGCCGGTTTGCTTACTCGCTGCGTCCGATGTCGAATTGCGCCGGGTACAAACATGCCGACGTACGAGCCAAATAGTTCATCTTGCAGGAGGAGAGGCAGACGGGTGTTTAAGCACTGACCTAACACTTGAGAGCGGTAACGAACAGGAACAAACATACTTGATGGCTTGTAAATATTGGCAGAAGGTTTTCGTGCCTAACCTTACACAAACGAAAGATGCCTTCGCTGGGACTAATGACTAAGAAATGCCAAAAATGGAAGTATACTTTGTAATTACCTGAGTTGTTTTCATCCTAGAACTTAGAAACTCCTAACAGTTATAACGAGGCTATAATGTGTGTAGCAGACTGTCCTTCGTTTTGCGCCAGATAAATAAATATACATGAAAATATATACGACAGAGTTGTCAGCGACTAGTATCGATATTTGGTAAAACGGTGAATAACAAAATCGCTTCAAAATGAGAAACTATAAAGCATTGTGGATCTCAATCCTCCAGAAGAATCTCCGCTTCAATCATGACATAAATCGATAAAACTTCCGTTAACGTCACATGTATGGTGGAACCTCAGTGATGATAACAGTAGTACCTGCATCTCAGTTACGGCTGAAACAGCAATCTCCGGTTCGTTGAGAATGATTGTAACCAGGGTACTTTTCACTCTGCACAATGTTACCAAATCTCAGCAAAGATGTTGTCACTAATGGTAACTGTACCGTGGTCGCTGCTCGAGGAAACCGAAAACTTTGCCTTCACTTACTTACTATCACCACATCAAAACAAATAGAACAGTTGAAATTAAATGTGCACATGTGTACTTAGTTGTATGCAAGCCATCGGTACAATAGATCCCAAGCCATTCTAGTATCAAGGATCATACATAACCCAGTTGTTACATCAGCAGTAATCTGCACTAATTTTGCCGAAGAGACGTTCATTTTCTGACAAGGTTGCCAACTGTATGACGTTAAACAGTTAAGTTTCATTGGTAGCATCCAAGGTGTTGTGAATACGCCGTCCAATCCAATGCGTATCATTTAGTACCTAACCAGAAACCACTACGGTGAACTGGGAATCCTATGAGGTGTACTAAACTTTGCTGAAGAACTGCAGGCAATTCTCTATCAGAAGCACATCATGAAATATGTCCCGTGCGGTTCTCATCCACGTAGATGTACTACAGAAGTGCAGCCTCTTGGAAGAATACCGGAATGAATCCGTAGTTAGAATCATCATAGTTTATGATGTCTTGAGGATTGGATGAAATGCTGAGACATAGAATACTACCCACGACAACCTGCAATGGTACTACATACATATGCAAAATCCTATTCTTGTTAAATGCAGCATCTATACTTATCTTATTTTACCTGATTACTCGTGTTACAAACAGCGTTGCACGATGGTAAAAACGGTGTGTTTTGTTCCATAGTGATGTCTGAAATGGACTAGAATGCGTTATTTTCTGCACAGCAGACTAACGTCTAAATTGTTGATCTATGCGGCGTCCTCCGAAGGAGCAAAGTAAACAGGACATATTTTAGAACCACTACCATTAGTAAGTCAGCTAACAATATGAAAACATTCGCCGGAATTTTTGACGCTTCACTTAAAATGCACACCAGGATGTAAAAAGGAGGCTCATGCAACTATTGATTCTGACACAAATTGCGTCGTCGATTGTTCACACAAACAGGACTAACGGACGATGCTTAACTAAACGCCTCCCATTTGATTCACTATTGAAGCAAAAGAACGTTTCACGTAACGAAACAAGCTTTTTTGTACTACATTAGATTGTCGGAAACGTTTTGTTTCTTGTAATCGAATGACATTTAGGTGCATAACAAGTTATTGAAACTTTGATTATATCAAGTTGCATTGGTGTGGATTGCCGTCACTTCATTGAAATTTTGACACTTGGTTCAAGGTATATACAAGGTTGGTCATACAAAACAAAGGTTTCAATATAAAAGATGAAGTTCGCCTACACTATCGTTTCGTCTAGCAGTGTACAAAAGTAAATGACTCAGATAATTAAATCACCGACTCAAGTTCAGGTTAAGTTACAACGACCGACTAGAGTGAAAATAGCCTCCCGCACTTCTTATACGTACAGAGATTTGGATTCGTTGAGGTTGAAATCAGACTCTGCCATTCCGAACACTGGGACCTTCACCGAATTAAGGAGTTCGGTCTTGTTCTTTCCCATCCGTGCCCTATACGACCGACGGTTTCCTCCTGCATTGGACCCGGTAGGTAGAGGTATCCTGACTGGAAATTGTACTCGTACCATAGCTTCTAATTGCTATTATCCTGAGTAATATGCTGTAGAGCTACGCGGGTATCGAAATATACAATGCCATAATAATAAATGGCGAGTTTTGGAATACCCGAGACCACAACTGGAATTAAGTGTCCTCATCCGAGGCACACGGCAGGTGCTTCGAAACCCATCAATCAGCCTCTAACCTTTGTTTTCTGTGCTGCTTTCGGGGCGCAATGGTCTGGTTCGCTTTGAGAGTTGCCAACCACCATGTGTCAATCCAAATCAGGCTATCTCTACCTGAGACTTCCGCACCATGACGAAATACACCCTGGAGTGCAGAGACTAGAGAGAGCCACACGATTATCCATTAATTTGGCGGCGGTTCCATTGATCGAATTAACGGGGCTGACTTTAAAATCAATAGAAGCCACAGTTGATACTTCGCATTCAACGACAGACTGCTGGTGCACCGATCATTGTGCCCGTAACTGACGAAGCAGTTGGATGTTGTGGTTGCCAGCCCAAAAACTCTGCACCGCGCAATCGCTTTCGGAGTTACTTTATTTCATCCGGTGGAGACTGGCGAATTTTGTCAGAATTGTTAATGACTGATCAGAGTGTGGTTTTGAAACACCTGTTGTATGAATGTATATCCATGCGGACAGCGATGCAAGCTGAAGCGAACATTCAAAATTTGATCATAGGGACTGTTATTACCGTCGCTTGTCGTGTGACATGTTGCCTGCATGGATACAATTATCGGCTAGCATTCCAATTATCCCGGCTTCGATGTCTGATCTCTGTCTAACGAGATCAGACAAGTTAGAACCCGGTTAGCAGTGCAGTGTTTGCGAGTGAACAACACCTAATATTTTTAAGTGAATGGGGTTGTAAGCTGCTTTGTTCTCATAAAATATAAGTGCATTTCTAGGATAGATAAAATATCTTTGGACACGCTGCTTTATTTCTTCTTCTGCTACATCATCATCGTCAATGCGCGACAGCGAAGGATAAGGAAAGCATCTCGGTTTCTAAAGTTGAATTTGGAGAATCCGCTGGTGGCTGGGTTGCTACAAGCAACCTCAATTGAGACCTCGGTTCACTCGATGTGGACCTCGGCCATTCCGATCAAAAAGACCGTAAGTAAAATGAAAATTATAGTGTTGCTCATCCCAACACCGGCACCCCAAGACCGCGGTTTCGTCCTGTTGGGACTCATCAGTTGGAGATAGCCTGAGTTGGGCTGGAACTCAGAGCCTAGTGGCTCATGGTTGACGCCATAAGCACTATGCCACTGAGATCCACGAGCAACGCTTGGTCCAGCAGAAAAGATTGCAAAGTTGAATTTGGAGAATCCGCTGGTGGCTGGGTTGCTACAAGCAACCTCAATTGAGACCTCGGTTCACTCGATGTGGACCTCGGCCATTCCGATCAAAAAGACCGTAAGTAAAGGAAAGGTAAAAAGGCTGTCTCCAACTGATGAGTCCCAACAGGACGAAACCGCGGTCTTGGGGTGCCGGTGTTGGGATGAGCAACACTATAATTTTCATCTCGGTTTCTGAAGCGCAACAAATATGTCCAGAAATTAAAAGTTACCGCCAACACAAATGTTCGAAAAACATGCTATAACTAAAATTCATATTATGCATTTAACATGGAATCCTAATTGAAGTGGGAATCTAAGGAGCAGATAATTGGACAAAGAAACTCAAGACACAAACGTCATTTGGATCGGCCCTTAGCTATCTAAGCAACGTGCTCATCGTTCTTGGGATCCCAGCCCGGCAGTCGGGATGCACTAAACGGAAGCCAAGTCCAAAATGAGGAACTTCATTCTTCTTCAACAAGTAATCGCTTGGCTTTCCTTCCTCTTATTCCATCCACACCGCATTCGCACAATCAACGCGGAACGTGGGAGTAGGTGTGCGGGCATACGCAACATGTCGCCCAGCTATCGGTTCCTGGTGCGTGATAGAATGGTGCTAAGCAATACACTCGATCTTCCTATACTAAATACACGACTACGAACACGCTCA